AAGGTATCTCAACTGAATAGGGTTCGGAAACGGCATACATGATCATGAGGGCTCGCGCACCAAAGGCTGTTGACTGAGCCTGCTCGCTCCTCCCCCCTTCCCCCCTTTCCCCCCCCCCCCCCGCGTACCCTCTGACTATCGCCACCATCGCCGCACATCTACTCAACAGCTAGAACTCTTGTTACATACTTGGATTGCCATGGCTGTTCGCAAAAACATTGGCGATAAGTTCAGGAAGCTCGCATCTTCTTCCCTCGATGACCCTCCGGATGAGGGCGCTTCCTCCCAGCCCCTGGATCTCGTAACAGGCACGATAGGTGCGATGGTGAGTACAACTCTCTGGGACTGTGCACACGCAGGGAGGGCATCTAACGCTGGATATTGGACCAGGATGTCGACGAACCGCAACCCGCCGAAAACTCTCAACCACACCAGCAGACCAACGACATCGGCTCGCCTCGGGACAATCTAACTGTACAGTTGCATCATTGTGACAAGCATAGTCACTGCCTAATGTCCGTAACACACAGAAACACTCCGGTTCCGCAATCGCAGAAGCCGGAGGATATCGATCATCGGAGCAAACCGTCGCGCGGAGAGCCATTGATGAGGCCAAGAAAGAGGTCGCCACCATGCAATCTGATACACTGGTGGAACGAGGCGCAGCGGCAGTCGACGAACGGAAAGACCTGGCGCAAGGGCTGGCCTCGTCACGAAAGCAATGGGAACCGCTGTTCAGGCGTCTTAAGCAGTTCACAGAGCTTGTCGACAAGATTGCCGAGGTGATCATTCGTGGTTCGGATTTTTCGTGATTCCGGACTCATGCTGGCCACGGCGAAAGATTCATCCCTATGCAAGCATGGCGTGGAACGTTCTCTCAATTGTGCAGAAGGCAAGTCACACATATCAGTCCGACACGTGTCTCCTGACGAATCCCACCTTTAGACCATCATCGGGCAGGTCAAACTCGACCAATCCATCCGCGACCTCCTCGACACCCTCGAGAGCGTATACGACTTTATGGATCAGGCTCAGCCTCTGGACAGCGTCAAATCAGCGGCGAAGCTGCTCACGGCACTTGCTCAACAGACGACCGAATGCGGCTGGTTCATACACGACTATGCGAAGAACAAGAATTTCTGTGCGTTCCGGGTCCCTTGCACATCGTCCTCGCCGTGTCCGTAACCTTGATTACAGTACCACGAATGGCGTCGAATGCCTTGAAGAAACTCGTCCATCCAGCCCAAGCGGCGCCAGCGATGGTGAAGGAATACCAAGCCAAGTTTGCGGAACTAAAGTCGCAGCTGCTGGATGGATCCACGATACGGACAGCCATCGCCATAGCGAACGTCGATCTTGTCGTTCACAGGGTCTTGAACACCGTCGAAGAGATCGGTAAGGAACCCGCCGGCTTGTCTTTCGCCGCGCTGACTGTCGATTATCATCAGCCGTGGACGTCAAGATGCAGCGGTTGGAAGACGCCTGTGCCAGAGGTTCTCGGTTCAACAGAGATAAGAGATGCATTCCAGGGACCCGTCAGACAATTCTTCAGATTATAGCCGACTGGATCAACGATCCGCTTGACGCTCGTCGCGTGTTTCTGCTCTATGGGCCGGCGGGGTCGGGTAAGTCGGCGATCGCTCATACCATAGCAGCCATGTTCTACGATATGCTTCGCTTGGGATCCTCGTATTGCTTTGACAGGTCCAACAGCGAGCTTACTCGCGCTATCCCCGTTTTCGCCACCATCGCCCGCGACCTATCCGAGCGTGAGCCTCAGATTCGAATTCAACTTTCGCGGGTCATCGCCCGGGACTCCGCCCTTGCCACATCGAACGATCTTCGCGAGCAGTTTCGGCGCTTCATCGTAGAGCCTGCGTCACAGCTCGCGATCTCTGGGCCGATTGTCATCGTCATC